GTTTGTTTATTGAAACAGGGTCTAGCTTTCTAGTCCAGGCTGGCCTTGAGCTTGTGATAATCCTGCTTTAGCCTCCCATCCCTGCCTGCGATGACAGGTATATACCACCAGACATTGCCCTAAAGATTCACCTTCCTTGCTTGTCTTGAGCTGCATCTCCAGTTCAGCTTTTTTGGTGTTTAGAGATGAAATCTTGTTGACTTTTCTGCCCACGCTGGCTTTGAATCTTGATCCTCCAGGTCTCAGCCTCTTGAATAGCTAGGATTATAGGCATGAGCCACCAGTAGGTGCTCAACTTGGATGCTTCTTCTTGATACAGGTTTGAGTCATTTCCATTGAGTCATTTTAACATTATTTGCCACTAAGATTAAGTGAGTTTTTCCAGGAGCTGGTGCCTCATGCCTCTAATCCTAGTTACTCAAGAGGCTGAGATCTGAGGATTGCAGTTCAGCACAGACAAGAAAGTCCATGAGACTCTTTAACAAATCACAGGAAAAGCTGGAAGTTTGGCACAGTGGCTCAAGTGGTAGTGCTAACCTTGAGCACAAAGGAGCCCAGGGACAACACCCAGACCCAGAGTTCAAGCTCAAGTACCAGCAAAAAAAAGAGGATTAAATGATTTTATCTTCCTTTGAAGAAAAACAAATCAAATTCTAACAAATTTGAATATCTGATTGCATTGATATCTGCAGAAGGAGCTAATAAGAAGACCTCTCTTTTGTAATGGAGCCAAACAAAGCTAGTGACAGAGCTGATATGTTGGATGTCCAGTGTCAAAACTACAGCCACATTTGTTTAGTTTGTTTTTAGTTTCCATGGTTTGTTTTTCTTGGTTTATCAAAGGATTCTGAAACAAAGAAGAGGTAGAATTCCTAGGAGCACTATTAATTTTTATGTGTCCCATTCTTCTTTTTTTCCCCCAGTCCTGGAGCTTGAACTCAGGGCCTGGGCACTGTCCCTGAGCCTGTACTCTGTACTCAAGGCTAGCACTCTACCACTTGAGCCACAGCACCACTTCCGGCTTTTTCTGTTATGTGGTACTGAAGAATTGAACCTAGGGCTTCATGCATGCTAGGCAAGCACTCTACCACTAAGCCACGTTCCTAGCCTCCGCCTCCGCCTCCGCCTCCTCCTCCTCCTCCTCCTCCTCCTCCTCCTCCCCCTCCCCCTCCCCCTCCCCTTCCCCCTTTTTTGTAGAACACCACTGTTTACTTATAATTTTAAAGATGATATATGGAGGGTTTATAGTTACATAAGTCAGATATTGAGTACATTTTGGGGGGGGGGGGTTGTTGTTGTTTTTTTGGTTGTTGGGCCTGGCCGCTGTCCTTCAGCTCTTCAGCTCAAGGCTAGCACTCTGCCACTTGAGCCACAGCACCACTTCCGGTTTTCTGGTGGTTTATTGGAGATAAGAGTTTCACGGACTTTCCTGTCCGGGCTGGCTTTGAACTGTGATCCTCAGATATCAGCCACCTGAGTAGCTAGGATTACAGGCGTGGGCCACCAGCGCCTGGCTATGAGTACATTTTGTTTTGGACAATGTCACCCCTTCACTCACTCTCTCCCAGTTTTTCTCTTCCATCCCCACCCACAATCCCATTCTTTGTTTACTCTTGAAATAGTTTACTCTTGAAATATTCTTTCTTGTTCCTATGTTGTGGGGACATCTAACCATACTTTTTTTTTTTTTTTTTTTTTTGCTAGTCCTGGGGCTTGAACTCAGGCCTGGGCACTATCCCTGAGCTTCTTTTGCTAAAGGATAGTACTCTACCACTTGAGCCACAAGGCCACTTCTGGTTTTTTCTGTTTATGTGTTACTGAGGAATTGAACTCAGGGCTTCATGCATGGTAGGCAAGTCCTCTATCACTAAGCCACATTCCCAGCCTACTATTTTTTTTTTAATGCTTAGAGACCATTGGACAGAAGCCATTGTAACAACACTATAATGAAGTATTTGACACAGGACTATACATGAAAGGATATCTGTAGTATAAGCATAGACGATTGTTATATTGATCTTTATCATCGTGTAGCACTCTACAGCCTCTTGACTATAAAGAATAATTTCTACATTTGGCTCCAGCAAACACTATTATGCTATTCTGAAATCTACAGCACAGAAATTATATGACATCCGCTTATAAACAGAAAGCAAATCACTATTCAGCATTTCCTGCTCTGTTTCCTGCCAATTTCAGATAATTAAAACTTTTTTTAAACCTTTTATTCCATTCTGCTTTAATTCTGCTTTCTCCATCAAAAAAGGAAAGATTTAGAAATTGAAATTCTGTGTATATAATAACAAATCTTGGCCCATTTTTGTTCCTTATCTTGTGACCTTCTGTCTTTCACCGCTCATCATCACAGACCTCAGGATATCATTGTGTTTGTAATTGGAGGAGCCACCTATGAAGAGGCACTAACAGTTTATAACCTGAACCGGACCACACCCGGAGTGAGGATTGTCCTGGGAGGAACAACAGTGCACAACACGAAAAGGTAACAGGTAACAGTTGCCCCTTTCTCAGACAGAAAAGCTTTACTCTCCTGTATTCTGGAAACATTGGTCAGTGATAACTGAAGTATAATCAAACTGCTCTGGTGTTTGCAGCACCATTCCATTTGTAAGATAAAGAGTCTATAATCCATTAATTTCATAAGTCATTTCATTATGCCAAAGACATGTAGAATAAGAACAGTCCTCTGCTGTTAACAATTTCTGTTTCCTATGTTCAGAGAAGGAGAAATTTAATAGCCACAGACTAGCTAAGATGGTAGGGAAAAAACAAAGGAGGGGGTAACAATGCTTGATAGGAAATGTACTCATTACCTTATTCATGTAACTGTAACCCTTCTGTACAGTATCTTTACAATAAAAATATATATTCAAAAAGAATTACTGAACACTCAGGGCACTGGCAGCTCATGCCTGTAATCCTAAGCTACTCAGGAGGCTAAGATGTGAGAATCGCCATCTCAAGCAGGAAAGGCCTTAAGACTCTTATCTTAAATTAACCACCTAAAAACAGGGAGTGGAGCTGTGGCTCAAAGTGTTAGAGTGCTATACTAGGGCAAAAAAGCCCAAGGACAGCACCCGGGCCCTGAGTTTAAGCCCCATGACTGACCAAAAAAATAAAAGAATTGCTAAAGGTAATTTTATTGTATTCTGTATTTTTCTGTTTTGTTGATTAACTATATTCATTTAACAAGTCCTTAAAAGAATACAAAAGATTAATAAACTGAAGATTCTATCTTGCTGGGTATGGTGGCTCATACCTGTAATCCCAGCTACTTGGAAGGTGGAGATTGGGAAGATTGAGGTTTGGGGCCACTTCCAGCCATAAGTTATTGAAAGCCCCCATCTCAACAAATAAGCTGTACACACTAGTATGTGTCTCTGGCCCAAACACATAAAAGATAGCAGGGAGGTAAACTGTGGGCCAGGCTAGCCCTGGACATAAAACACAAGAGAGTGTGTGTGTGTGTGTGTGTGTGTGTGTGTGTGTGTGTGTGTGTGTGTGTGTGTGTGTGTGTGTGTGTGTGTGTGCGCGCGTGTGCTGGGTTTGAACTCAGGGCCTGGGAACTGTACATGAAACACATAAAAGATAGCAGGGAGGTAAACTGTGGGCCAGGCTAGCCCTGGACATAAAACACAAGAGTGTGTGTGTGTGTGTGTGTGTGTGTGTGTGTGTGTGTGTGTGTGTGTGTGTGTGTGTGTGTGTGTGTGCGCGCGTGTGCTGGGTTTGAACTCAGGGCCTGGGAACTGTACATGAGATTTTTTGTTCTGTAACTTCAGCTACAGCTCCACTTCTTTTTGGTGGTTAATTGCCTAGGCTGGCCTTGAACCTCAGTACTCAGATCTCAGCCTTCTGAGTAGCTAGGATTACACCAGATTAGCACTGTGTTGCTTTACTGTGCTTTATTTAACCTTTATCAAAATGGCTCCATAACAAGAGTGTTGTCTTAGCTCCTTCTGCAGATAGCAGTGCAATCATATATTCAAAGTTGTTGGTAGAATTTGATTTGTTTTTCTTTTCTTAAATCATCAAAAGAAAATAAAATCAATTAATTTTTTTTTTTTTTTTTTTTGGCCAGTCCTTGAGCTTGAACTCTGAGCCTGGGTGCTAGCCCTGGGCATTTTTGTGCTCAAGGTTAGCACTCTACACTTGAGCCACTGTACCACTTCTAGCTTTTGCTGTGATTAAACCACCAGCTGTAAGCTGAAATTTTTTTCTTGCTTTTTTCAAGTTTGCCTGATGTTTTTTGTTTGTTTTTATTTTATTATAAAGATGCTGTGCACAGGGGGATATTTTTGTTTTATATCCTCTTTTCTCATCTTAAGTTCCTCACTTTCTTTCAAGCCCTATAATTTTAAAGAAAAATGTTAAAATCCATAATCTGAAGTACTTGGAAGTCTAAATCTGCTGTTGTATCTGGTAACATTAGCTCATGATAAATCATTTCCACATAATCTAATTCTGAACTGCAGGTTATCTTAAGCAAGGTTTTCATCTTTGGCCACATGAGGCTCCTAAATTGAAGATGTAGCTCTCCTATGTAATTTTCCTTTTGGCTAGGTATGTAAACTAAGGACACTGTCAGTCTAGAATCATTTTTTAATGTTTAGTTAAGTCTTCTACACTATGCAGAAATCTGTTTTTTTATTTCTTTTCTTGTTGAGGCTTACACATTTTTTCCTGACCCTCAGTGTAAACAATATTTAATAACATTGCCACACCACCTATCAGATAGCCACACATTGGTTTATACTTATCATCTTAAGTTCTGATTCACTTTAGGTAATAACCCTTGGAAATGTAATTCTTTCACAAGTTAAGATACTCATTTGAAAGGCATTTGTCATTTTTTTGTCCTGCATGTCTGTATTTTGTTGTAAGAGAATTTTCATCTTATGTAATGTGTTTTAAGTCCAGAAATAGAAATGTCAAGTGTGGTTAGGATCTTGAGAGAATATGAAATGGTAGGGACACTATAGGAACTTCAATTTAAAAACTATTAGATGATGATATTTGGAACGGTGTCCATGTATCTGAAAATGACAAAACGGCCGGGTGCCGGTGGTTCACGCCTGTAACCTAGCTACTCAGGAGGCTGAGATCTGAGGATCTTGGTTCAAAGTCAGCCCAGGCAGGAAAGTCCATGAGACTCTTAGCTCCAATAAACCACCAGAAAACCGGAAGTGGTGCTGTAGCTCATGTAGTAGAACGCTAGAGATGAGCTGAAGAGCTAAGGGACAGTGCTCAGGGCCCAGAGTTCAAGCCCCATGACTGACAAAAAAAAAAAAAAGAAAAAATGACAAAACTAAGGTTTTATACCTAATTTGGGGGTCAATGGGGTGAACTTGAATATATTTGAGCATAGAAGTGACAAAAAATATCATAACCATTTTAGTTATATTTCTCTCTTTCCTATTGCTACTGATAGCTACTGATCATGCCAGTTAATACTTTTGGGGCATATACTGTGTACTAAGCACTGTACTAAGTATTTTACAAATACTTATTTAATCTTGGCATGTACTCTCATCTCTATATTTGGAAACTGAGCAGAGATTAATTAACAAGTAACTATGGCTAATAAGAGAGCAGGATTGGAAGCCAGAACCCACCATGCAATTCTTTTCATGTATTACTGGAGTTAGACATGATGGTACATGCCAGTAACCTCACCTCTTGGAAAGTTCAAGGCCAATCTGGGATACATAGTAAATTCCAGACCAAATTGGGATACACAGTAAGGCCTTCACACTCTCTCTTTCTTTCTTTCTCTCTCTCTCTCTCTTTCTCTCTCTCTCTCTCACACACACACAAAGGTATTATTTAAATGCTTGCTATTGTATTGTTCTCTAAATAATAGTGAATAAATTAAGTTCAAAAGGTTTTATTATTTCTTGTTGGTAACAATATAGGATTTTATCGTCTTGATCCAAATGAGTCTCTCAAGTATTTTTAGATAGATAATCATATGTTTTTAAATAGACTCTAATAGCAGTTGTCAAAAGGATTCATTGACCTTTAAACAATCCTTGTATCTTCTGAGAGTTAATGTTGTAGCTCCCATAGTCAGTGTATCTAAGATGCTAATCTTCCCTTTAATTTGGAATATCAGAAATCTAAAATTAATCTCAAAAATAAGCCAAATTTGGGCACAAAAATATTGACAAAGATTTTAATATATATTTGTCATTTAATGTAATAATTTATCTTTTGAAGGATGCTTGTTTTCAGATGTGTTTGACTAACAGTACTATTAGTAAAACTTCATTTTCTTTTCTAAATAAAGGAGAAAAGGAAAAATCATACATCTACATTTTTCCTTAAATTTGTGTCCGAGTTCTTAGCAAATAATTGCTTCTGTAAAATTAAGAGGTAAAGCAGCCCTGCAAAAGGTTTCTGCCAGATCATCTGACTACAGCCAGCTTTGGTATTCTGTTATCTGACAGCATGCTAAGCTGTTTACATTTGAGTAAATAACTTACAATAGAGAAGTCAATAAGTTTTGGATGGGATTGTATACTGGCTTCTAACCAATGAAACTTTTAGAAAGAGAGAGTTGCTGTGGTAACCACCAAACAAGAAAAAATTAATGCCTGCAATACATACATGATCCAATATTAGGTTTTTAAGTAGTGAAATTTATCATTACGAAAATGCTAGTTAAATCTCAGAGACCAGGTATTGTAAAGGCTTAAATAATTAAAAGCAGCACAGTTTTCAGCTTTTAGTGAAAGACTTAATTTTCATGATGCATGCAGGATACTTGGGGTATTACTCACCTATTAAGTAAATTTACTATTTGTTTGTTTGAGGCATTATCTCACTGTATTTCTCAGGCTGGCCCCAACTCCTGAGTTCAACAGTGCTCCTGCCTCATAGGCCTTAGCTGACTTACCAGTGTGCACTACATCACCACGCCTGGGTGCACACTGATTGTGTCTTTGTTTTTCTTTGTTTAGCCGTTCTAGGATTGAACATAGGGCCTTGAACATGCTAGGCAAGTGCCCAGCATAGCTGAGGGCTCTGCCGACACCCCTACACAGCTCTTTTCTTTTTTATTAATTTACCTTATTGTTATTACAGAGGTGATGTAGAGAAGGATTTCAGTGGCATGAGTCAGATCATGAGTGCATTTCCGTTTGTACAGTTTCTGCAGTTCCCTCGCTCTGTCCTAGTCACTCCCTCCATCTGCACTCACGAGTTGCATTAGCTGACTTCCATCAATGTCCAGTGAGCTCCATTGCTGCATTCTTTTCATCCTTTTTCCTTCAAGGTCTGTACCCTCCCCCCAATCCTCCTGAAGACGTACTTTTGACTACCACGCATAAGGTAAAGAAGACAGATCTGAAAAAAAAAGGGGGGGGGAATCTCTTGTTTCCATATCTTGGAGTTCATTTCAGTATGTGTATTACTTTGTATAAATATGAAAAGACACTTGGGTATTGCACCTTTGTGTTTCTCCCCTAAGAGTATCCTCTTTTG